TGTAAATTAGGTTATGGAGTGGTTAAAATACCAATAAAGAGATGTTTAAGACCTTTTGGAATTAGTTTGCCTGTCCATACTCATCACATAGGCTCCCTTTTGTGCTCGATACTGAGTCAGATGGGAAATTTCTTTTGCTAGATTTGGGGCAGAATTGCAATCATATGTTTTTTGTTACATTGGGAGATGGCACCTAGGGCAAAAAGTCGGGCTACATTGGGCGACGGGTTCACTTCTGTTGTGACAGAGCTAATATGAAAAAATGATAACATGTTCAGTCTTCAAAGCTGTTGTTATAGCAGTAGAACTCTAAGTCAAGATGACTTAGAGTATTTTACGGCAAATAATACACCTCTACTGGATCAACTTTGTATGATTGGGATTTTGTGAATATTTTAAAACATATCATTCTATTTTATGGAGATTATCTTCATATTGCAAGTGCGGAGAGGAGATAACTACATTTTTTGATTTTGGACTGAGCAAGTAATCTGAATAAGTGGAGGTGAGGTGAAAGATGATTTTGCACGTCATGATGTGTCCAAAGTGTTGTGATCAACTTTTGATGTGTTTATTGTAATGATTTGTTATCATATAAAGTGTATCAATTTGAGATTAATAGTATTTCACAAAATTTGAACTTTATATTCGAACATATAAAGGAAATTATATACAACTTAAAAAATTAAATGTTTTGAATCTGATTTGTTGTAATTGTTGTGAAATCGATTATGATGATTTGAAATTGAAAACTGAAATTTTGAATTAAGATTGTATTTCAATCTGTATAGAAATGAAAAAGTATATGTTTAACTAAGCATGAACATACATAAACATAGATTTTGCTTTTCCAGTTTTTGTAATTATAACTCTATGTCAATTGGTATGAAATATAAATAACAAATATTGACACAATATGTTACTTTTCATCAAAGTTATAGGCTGCAACGACATTTATAAAAGCAACAGGGTGATAAGAAATTTTGATATCACAATTCTTCATCAATACTATTTTAAAGAGTAAACCTTGGATACGATTTTTTTTATGATGATCGATCGCATAAGAGTTGAAGGAGTGAGTTTACTTTATAATCTGCACATTTTATTATGAAACATTACAAGATGCTCGTATCTCTTTAAAAGACATGGAAGAATAAAAATATTCAATATTATGAGAGCACGAGCAGATTATAGCAGACTTCGCAAAATGTAGATAATCATGACAAACTTTGAAACAAAACACTCGATTGGCCATATTCAACCTTATTTTACTTTAGATTGGGTTTTTGATTGCAAAGGTGGAGGATCACTAAACTAGCGAATTACGGGGTAGAGAGCAAACACAATAAACACAGCGAATTAAACTAGCGAATTACGGGGTAGAGAGCAAACACAATAAGCACAGCCTTCCATCCTTTCTACAACAAGTTGTATTGAAGAGACTATTCGCTTTTTGTGACCTTTAGACCCATCCATGGCAGGAAAGTACAGTAATAAGTATTCCAGAATATGAAAGTAAATACATATACTCTAGTGCTTTCAATGATTTGTTTCTGGGGCCTGTATACATATTTTATGTATACTTCGGCTTCGGGGTTTGGCACATTAGACTGGACCGGAGATATGTGATGACCGATTGCTCTCAAGTAGGACAGTTGTCTTCTCGTTGACCTGCTGCTCGTCTTCTCCCGCAGGAAGTTTCTTGTGAGAGTCTTCGCAAGTGGACTGCAAGTCAGGCCATGAGATGCTTCATCTGTCCAGTCTTCAGAATCAAGGATCTCATCTCCCTTTTCGCTTTGGCTTTTCTATAATGCCATTGCGTAAGATAGATCTTGGGCGATAAACAAAACCAAAAGGATATTGGCCATTTCCGCTGAATAAAATCTGCATGAGAATCTTCCCATGCAGATTTTATTCCGATCGAGTCGTTCAGAACTACGAGTCTTTCGTCTGCAGAGGATGGGTAGGTCCACTGTGATGAAGGGCCGCTTCTGAGGAAGCAATTGAACCAGGATGTTGAGTTTGATTGAGAAATGGAAGCATCCCGGAGAAAGTTTAATTGGTCGCGATGTTGGTTGTCGCGGGAACCAAGACGATATTTTGGAAGTTTACATATTGCTCGCTAGAGTGCTTTTTGATAGTTTCAGCTCTTGGATCACTGTCTGTACCTGAAACAGCAGGTGGTTAATACACCTTGAAAGTATGTATGTTGGTATCTCTACGATCATGAAATATTTCATTGTATTCAACTGCAATTTCCTGCTGCTGCTATTGCTGCACTCGGTGATAGGTTTGACCCCTTCAATGGCAATCGAATGACAGTACAGTGTAACTCAATGAACTCATCATACTGAAGTTCCAATTAAAGTGAGGTTCAGTGATCGCTTAGGTTCAGTTCTCAAATGCATGCACCTGTGTGCCGTCATGACCGAAGACTGTTATGCTAATGAGTTATCCATTTCTTTCTCCTTATGGACGATTGTTGTCCCTGTTCGCTTGCTGCCCAATTCGATTGTTTTTTGTTTTTCTTTAATTCCACATTACTTCCTCTGCAATTCATTTTAACTTTGGATTTCAAATTTTTTTTTTACCGACACTGCCTTCTCCACACGAACTCAGATGGTAACCTTCACAAGGTTCTATTCCCAACCATATGCTGTTTGCATTTCTGTAACGTTACAGTTTGCATGTAAATCATGCCGAATCAAATGGTTGGTAACATAGGATTTGATATACTAGTGAAGTTGATCACGGTTCCAGAAAAAGACACTTTTCAACGACAAATAACTGCAGAGTTTGGAAATACAAATATTCTGCACAAGTCACACCCAAGTCTGAAGTCCCTTGCTCATAAGTATTGTCAGACGATGCCATAGTCATCTACTTTCAAAGATTCTTCATGAATCTGGGAAAGTGCTCGATTGAATGCTTGTTGCTTTGTATTGGATGGAAGAGCTCAAATCTCATAAATTAATCTGCAAGAACTTGAACATTGTTTCCTAAAGACGTGAAAGATGAAACCTTGGCATCTCACCAAATTTGTCACTCTAGTAAAAGGGCAACGAATGGATGATCTATAGAGGAGAGAATATGTGAGAGATTGTATATTAAATCTCATTTTTTCATAAACTATGGGAAAAATTATTTTTTTTCAACATGTTTATGTTTATTTTATGCCTATATGTCCTTAAAAGTTTGCCTGGTAGGACGAATATTGAGTTCAGGTTCCATATAGGTCTAATTTTTTGTACAGATTGATAGTTTGAATATATTAGATTTTGTGAAAAATGTTTGCCATGGTGATAAAAATTGAGACTGCGGGGTAAAAACGAACGAGGCTAAAAATTGAGACATTTGTGTCCTCCTTGGTATGATGGTGTCTGCCCTTATCAATTAATTCTTTTCGTTTTCTCCATATTTGACCAATGCCTTACCCTTGGGAGTCCCGATGAAGTCTTGGAGAAACCATTTAAAAATGTTCTTTTATTATAGAATAGAATAGAATTGCGCATGAGTTTAATATCATCCCCGAAAGCAAAAGGCGTTGTCCTTCGGGGAACTGGGCAAACCTGCTGCCGTGCTCGATCATCTCCGTTCTAGAATAGCCTCGATCGAGTGTCCGTGACGAGGCCCAACGACGACACCGCGATGAATGTTCACCATCGTCATCGATGTCGTCACGGGTGACATCGTGCTGCACAGCCCCTCGCGCACCTATCACAAGAGATTTAGGTGGCGGGAACTAATGCCACAACGCTTCCCACAGCCGCGTCTTCAAGCCTGGGACGCCAGATCCGTCTCTAAGAACCCGTCTCTCGACGATGACACAGCTCCGGGACGACGTTGACCGTAAGATTGCGACGTCGTGATGAAGCCCATTCGTCGGTGACTCTGATACTCTATGATTTGCTGCTGCACCACTTTCCCTCGTTCCTAGTAGTGTTCCTAGCATGCCGGAGAGAGCGCGCAACTGGAGGGCGAGGCGAGGCTCCGTACGATGCGGTAGTTGCCGATTTTTTTACAAGCTCAGACATCAGAACTTGAGATTGGAGGAATTCGAATTCCAAGGCCCTCTGCTGCACTTGCAAAACCGTTCTGATAAAGTCGATCAGCAGCAGCAGCAGCAGCAGCTATGAAGCTGAAGTCGAGCAGAGCAGGCTCGGCCTTCAGTGCATTATCCTTGGACTGCCTGCCTGCCTGCCTGCCTGCCTTCCTTCCTTGCCTGGTCTCTGACTCGGAATGTTATTAATTTCGCCACCCCCACCACCGTCCGCAGTCGTTTCAACACGTTAGCGTTCCGAGTCTTGCGTCGAGTGGTTGCATTGCGATGTCGGTGACAGACTGTTGGGCTGGATAAGTCGGAGGTGATTGATTGCGTGCCGAGCGGTCGATCGAGAGAGAGAGAGAGAGAGGGAGTGAGTGAGGGTGAGTGGATCTGTCGTACGAGAGAGAACCTGTGGATTCTCTTCTATTCGCTCGCGAACGTAGTAGACGCAAGAGCGGAGCGAGGCCGAGGTCGATATTTCGAGGCCTAACAACTTCTCATGTCTTGCGGGACGTATGCCATCGTAAGCCTTCACGGACAGAGTCACACAATCGCGTGATTGCGGGGCTCTGTCTGTCTGTCCCCGTCATTCTTGCGGCCGCTCTTCTCTCTTCCACGCAGTTGTGTGCACGCATAGTGTTAACATTCGAGCCCCCGAATCCCTCCGACGTTGTGGACGACCGCAATCCTCTTCTACTCGCCCCCGGCCATCTTCATTTCACGGTTTGAGTCGATCCACAGAGAGAGAGATACTCCGTCAACCGTTGACAGAAGTTGACGGGTTTGACGCATGTTGGAACGAACAATCAGATTCGTGATTCGAGCTCCCTCCCTCCTTCCTTCCCGAGCTCACACATATAAAATATGTCTCGACCTCGTAACAGCTGAAATCCCAGATCTGAACATGTTTCGGCTGAAGCAAGTGGCGTGTGACAAGTAACTTCTACATCTCTTACCAGATCAACCCCCACAGCAAAAGAGAGAAGAGCTGATTCGGCTCCCACTATGCAATCAGCTCTTCTCTATCTTTTGTTGCGAGGATTGATCTGGAAATTGCGTCCGTTTTGTCACCGTGGTTTTTTCTTGGACACATTCCTTGGCCATCACGTTGTTGGAGCATTCATTCCCCGTGAAAACTTGGGAAGTGCATCGGATTCAATGTTTGGCCATCAAATCGTATTCCTTCCAATGCAAACTTAGACTAATTTCCTGATTTAGTTCGCAGTCAGTTTCTGAATCAATGTGACATAATGTTCCACCTCTAATTCTCCCTTCATGGACATGCAAAACTTTCAAGGGCCAAAGGAGATCGAATCTTTAGAAGTTTCATCGCTTAGTCCTCTCTGCTGCCACTTGTGAGTGAGTCCACTTGTACATATCAGTGTGCTTGATTGACCGTCGAGGGCCAGAAACTTTCCAGAGAAAGATTTTGCGAAGGTGATGGACTCCTGGAAAATCGGTTCGCCATGTGAAGAAATATCTCCGCATCTCTCTCGAGCAATAAGGTGCAATTCTGCTTTTTGTGTACATGCTATCAATCCATTGGCTGAAGGTTTATTATCTCTTTTACCAATAAGTGGTGTTTGTCCCAAAAAGTGTGAACCTGCTTACGATTAGTGGCCGGCAGAAAAGAGCAGGATTCCTGGAACCCGTGCTCGAAATATCGTTGAAGTGATTAATGCAAAGATACCACCACACACTCCATACCGCAACCGAGATTTGGTCATCAACAAAATGTAATTGCCGGAGACCAGAACGACCAATTCCACGTTCATATATTGGATCCTCTGAGTAACTGAGAAGCTCTGCAGTAAAAGAATATTCCTAAAATCTGAACGATTCGATCGGCGATTAAGCATTCGTGAAGTTACTCAGATGGAGTTTCGTGTAATATACCTTCAATCTGGGCAAATACTGACGATTTTGATTTCGTCTTTCTATATAGAAAATCCGTAATAGACTGGACCAATTAGTACCCGCACCTCGCACAGGCGTCAAGGGTGTGGAGAAACTTTCGAGATGGTAGCACTGTTCTCACTCGCGGAGGACGTTAGATTTCTCCTGATCAGCTTCTCTCTGCAGACTCAGCGTCCAAGCTTGGGTGTGGTCGAATCCATGGGCCTGAAATATACTTGATTCTCCATTCCACAACCAATTCAGGCATTGTGCTGTGACTATTCATATGTAAAGAAAATGGCTCAAACCTCTGGAGCCGGGGGCACTGTGAATCTGGAGGAGTTCCTCCTCGCTGTCATCGAGCTGTCTGCGAAGGAGGAGGTCTAGAATTAGACACTGCGCGAAGTTCGTGTGCACGAGAACTCTCTGTTTGATTCCTGCTCTAAGACTCCGAGATTCATGCTTCAAAGTGGTTTGACATGAACTGCAGTGGGTACGACACAGCGTTGTCGTTATTTTCCCGGCATTTTACGTGGGATTATGTGCAGTGACGAGCATTGTCAACGTATTTCAATCATGCGCAGTTGCAGGGAAGTATATACAGTACTGGGGATAGGAAGATAATGCCAAGACGCTGTTGCAATCATCCAGGTACAGTCTGATTCTCAGCGGCTAAATCTCATCGGTTCACCTTATCGAGTGCACGTTTTGCTGCACTCGTTCGTTCGGATCCCTGTGCACGAGAGGGTGACTCTTGCAATGCCTAACGCGAGCAAACCGGAAGTAACAACACCGATCCAGACGTGAGATGGGCAAAGTACATCAATTTATAAAAATACTGCGAGCAGTTATCCCTTCCTCTTTCGAAGGACCGTTGGTGCAATGCAGAATAGCACAAGTGAAGAGCATGGCAGCTGTTGTTCAAGATATTTGCTTCTGATGCTGCCGCTGCTGATAAGAGTCTTTCTTCCTTGGATTCAGGTGCTCATGGTCACTTGTATGGATTTTATTCTTCCCACAGAGGAACTCGGGCATCTCGAAACATCTTCAGTTCATCACAGGCTACGGATGTCGTCATCGGTACGTACAGGTGTCCTTTTCACAATATTAACAGAAACTGTTTTCTAATGCTAACCCATCTTCCACATGTACCGTGTTGGTAGACACAACGTTAGCCACTCGATCTGTCATCTCATCGGTTGCTTCTCATTCGCTACTTTGTGAAAATACTAAATTCTTTATTAAGAGAAAGTCAGTGGGCCGAATGTAAAACAGAAAAGCACGGGAAGACACCATGAAGCCGAACAAAGAGAGGATATTTTGATTATACAAGGTCGCACACAACATGGGGACGACAAAGCACCACAACGGACAATAAAGAAGTAAGTTTGTGTCATTTGTCTGGCTACAGCAATTCTTGGCGCCACTTGCAACCTACATCAGTAGATACACCATCTGGACGTAGTAAACTTTGTGTCTTGGGACTCAGCACAATCTTCCGGTCCAACTTTGCATATGCCAACAAAATGGATGACATTCTGCTTTTATTAAGGTCGACCAAATCAGGTCAGATAGACCACCGTGTTGTCTTACCTGCTCGGTTGAGGTCCTGGTCCATTAGCGGACTACTTGCTTCCTAGTCAGAGGTATGGGCCGATACTCTCTCGTGATTCTCATTGTGATACTATCGGGGCCTAGAGTCTTCACTTTCACTTGATGGGATCTTCACATTTTTCCAAGTCCACTTGGCCCCTTCGCAGCCTCTTTTCACATTCTGGGGAACTTCGCTCGAGGTAATGTTGGTCTAGTGACTTTTTCCATCATGTGCAAAACACATGCAAGTGTTAAAACTGGCAGTAGAGGCCGAGCTTGGTAGATCGGGGAGAAACGTGCAATACAATATCGAGACCAAATTCATTGAGAAAGAGGAAAGAAAGAAGGAAGTACGGAACTAGGATAACGACCCATAGAAACCCGACCGGCACAATGCAGAGTGCTGCTCATTATCTTCATGTGAAGACGTCTTTGCAACGCCCCTCCCTCTGGTGTCACCAACCTTGAATATATTCCGTCAAGTAGCCTCACAACTGTTTATATAACGCCCCAGGTTTATCACATGAAATTCGTTTTGGAAGCGAATATCAACATACGTCCTGGCTATAAGTCATCTCGACCCGCGAGGATGATGTTCCACGTCTGCTGATTTTGTTTCCAAGAGACCTTGATGCTAGCTAGGCTGGGCTCGAATGCGGGAGACAACGCTCAGCTTTCGAAGGGCAGGGAGTCAACCCGATTCTGAAACAAATCCCATTTTACTGGATGTCAGCTCTGACTCGCGACGGCTGTCCTCTTTGACGAAATATCTGCAGATTCTAGTTCACAAAGTTCATGATGTTCGTTGTGTTCTCAAGCTTGGTGTGTATCTTTGTGCATATTTAGGATAGAGTTACGACAAAGGCCGCAGTAAAGCAAAGGACAGTGCTTAGGTCCTATTGTACTTTTCCGTATGCATACAATCTACGAAGAAGAAATGCTGTCAAATACCCAAAACTGCAGGAGGGTCGATAGAGATGAAAGTATAAATGGGACTTGAATGCGAGTTGCTGAGTAAAGCCCCACACACACCCGTTCAGAGTGTGTTACCCTCGATAAGTCCTTCACGGTGACCATGCAAGTTAAATTCTACCGCACGTAGAGTTACGAGCGCTTGTGACGTGCCGCCGGGACACCCCACACTCTTCCAGCTCGCAATGATGATGAGATGAGATGAGTAGGATAGTCTGATGACACAAACAATGTCCTAATTGCACGAAACGACAGATCAAATTGGAACAGCTTGGGAGTCGCGCAGAAACAACTCATATATATATACTCATCAAAGACAAAGGTCTTTGATTATATGAAAGAATGCTCATTTCGGAATTTATACTCTCCTACAAAACAACCCAGGGGATGGGAATAAGAATTTGTTGCACTTGCTAGCCTATACACTCAGTTCAGTTCATCTTACATGCATTCCTATGATCATAAAACTCCCCAATAGGGATGCGAGATACTACGAGCTCGGAATGCAGAATCTGCCGTACTTCATGAAATTTCTTTCCTTTCCTCCTTTTAGATCGGACCGTAGTGCTAGAAAGCGAAAGATCCAAAAGTGACGAAATGATCGATTCCATTTAATAAGAGACCACGTAAGCTTTCAACCGTAAAAACTGCATGCACAACTGACTTGTAAAACTGCGTTTCCAGCCTTGTGACTGCTTGCGCTGGGGCTTAGGTGGTATGGCCTTTACGACGTTAGTGCACAAAAATTGGACTCTTGGACCTCCTTCGGATACTTGTGGTGTGTACGGTCGTTGGGTAGGAGTCTTCTCTGCATCGTCGTCTTCTGATCAAAGTCTGTACTGGAGTCCTTTTCTCGTCGAAAATCGAAATTTTGATAATTTTATAGAATTTCAGCACCACAGTACAAAGTTCAAAGTTCGCCCGGCAGGACATTGCATACTTACCAGGCTCATGTCTGATCACTTCCAAGTAGCACGAATCAGTTGAAACGACCTCGTTGGAGGAAGTTGTTGCTCGGATTACGTTCTCGATTTGGCTTCCTCCGAGTTTGTTCCTTTCAGATGCAGATGCTCCTTCTTTTCGGGACCTCGAGAGTCAATGTCGACGGGGATGGAATATCAGGAACGAGTTTGTCGACCGTCCTCCTCAGCCTCTAAAGGTGCAAGACTTCTTGTGGTCCTTGGAACTTTGTGCAAACGGTCCAGATTCCTACCTTCTCTGTCCTGCTCGTGAGCTGCAGATATTCTCGTCAGCAATGTTGGCCATGATGCTTCTGCTTTGTACATGCTGATACGTCTTATTTTAACCCACTACTATATCACAGACCAGCAGACAACATCCCACTACCTCTTGTTGATGGATATAGAGCGAATACCTCCATGATTTTGGTTTTAAATTCTTCGGTCTACAGTTTTAGATTAAGATCAGATGTCAAGGTCTCCTTCTCTCAGTTGTCGAAAAATGGGCGATACAACCATGATGCAAGAGCATCTCTTATCACTATCGTGTGTATGTGTGCATATATATATATATATATATATGATATGAAACATTTACTACTATTTACTTTGCATAATTTTGATCTATTT